CTCCGGCCACTCCCCGGCTGCCTGGCCCAGAGCTGGTCACTTGGCCTCGAGGAGATGAAAAGGTTGATGACCCACCTCCAGGTAGAGGAAGGGGCGCAACCGTTCATCCGTGGAAAGAGGGGAACATGGTGCCTGGCAAGTACTCAGAGGTTGGCAAATGCCACAATAATTTTTATGAGTAGCCTCTGTGTTCCGTGCAGTGCCTACTGGTTGCCTCCTGCAAGCGCCCCAACCTGGGCTGAGCCTGCAACCAAGGTATGTGCCCTTGGCTGGACTTGAACCCGAGACCCTTCAGTCCAAGGGCCGATGCTCTAACCACTGAGCACACCGGCTAGGTGTGCAAAGGCATTTTAAAATCTCACTTCTCACAGGCAGATCGGTGTGAATGATCATACATTCAGAGCTGAGAGGGGAGCCAGTCCTTTCTGGGGTTCAGCGGCCTCCCTGGGGACTTGGGGATTCCGTGGCTCACAGGGAAGCTTGTCTTGTGCTGGCTACAGATGAGGAGACCGAGGCTCAGGGCTGCACGCATCTGCTTGAGCCCAGACAGCTCCTGGCGGTGAAGCCCACCCGCTGGGTGTGTCCCCAAAGGCCGAGAGGTCAGCACCCTGCTCAGCCCATCTCTAAGCCTTTCCACGCTCTCCTGTCCTACACTGACCCCCCCCCATACACACTGCCCCCTGTGACAGGCGGGGAAGCCAGGACCCCTTGCATCACTCTGCCTCTCCAAACCCCAGGCGAGAAGCTGGAAGCGGCTACCTGACACCCAGTGCCCTGTCTGACAGCTGGCACGTCCCTCTCCTCCCACAGGCCATCTGGTGACCCACCCCACTGAGTGGGCGAAGCCTGTCCAGACTCCACCTTCCCCCACCCGCCTCTGTCATCCTCTGGGTCCTTCCTGCCCCAACGCTACACTGGGCCGGCTGCCCCTTTGACCTCTGCCTCCACGGCCCTGAGCATCTTGTCTGAGCCCTGTGCCTCCAGAGGCCTCGCAAGGTAACCATGGGGGGACCAGGCTGTCCTAGGGGGAGCTCAGAGCAGACGGGGGAAGCATGGCCACCTCCTTAAGCCCTGGCCCCCCTGATAAACACCTGGCTGGTGCTCCTGTACCTGCAAAGACCCAGCACCTAGCCAACGGGTGGGCGATGCTGAGGCTGGGCCAAGGGAGGGTATGTGGCAGAGGCCCCTGGCTGCTGTTAGGGGCAGAGGGGCAGAACCAAGGCAGGGCCTCCTGCCCCTGCTGCAACTGCGGGGCCTTCGACACCCCAGGCTCGCCCTCCACAACCCTGCCTGGGAGTCTTGCTGCAACCTGACCACAGGGCTGAGGGGCTGCCCTCCGGGCATGGAAATGCCCCTGAACACCAGCAGCTCAGTCCGTGGGAAGGAGGCTGTCTCACCCCTTGGAAGCGGACAGGCTGAGAGGTTCTGCTTGGAAAACACGCTGGCCCTCAGCCCTCTGCCTTCTACCTGGTCTGGTGCACCTGGCAGTGGCCTGGCTCCAGCTCTGGCCTCTGGGGACAGACGCTAGAACCAGGCCCTGCGGGGTCTGAAGACCAGGCTGAGGGCCACAGCTGGGAGGCTGGGGCTCACACCGCCTTAGGGCCCACCACCAGGGACCAGGACGGGTGGACCCCTCAGCTCCTTAGTTCTAATTCGGTGGAATTAGAGTGCCTTCCACACAGGAGAACCAGAGGTCTAGGAAGGCCTCGGGGTGGAAGGGATGAGATGAGGGGCACACGCCGCAGAAAGTCCCCGGGGATGGGCTTTTAGCTAGGAAATCCTAAGGGAAAGGTACAGTTAGAATGTGTGGCCTGACCAGGGCCCCTTAGCACCCGGCAGGACAGGGGTCAGCTTGCTGGTGTCCCTCCTGTGTTCTGGCGACTTCACTGATGGGGGAGAAATGCTGACAAGTTTCCTGGGCTCAGAAAGACGGAGGCGGCACCCACACTCTGCCTAGGGTGGGCCGATGCCTGCACGCATCTGTGACCATGGCAGTCCCCCCGCACCCCAAAAAAGCACGAACCCCTAGGGGCCGACCCCACTGGCCACCCCGCTCGCCCTTGCCAGCCTCCTGCCCGTTTTGGAGGGACTGTCCGACCGTGAGCCCCAGAGCGCGCCTGGGAGGGGGCGCAGGGCAGGCTGAGCGCCGCAGGCACTGGGGTCCCCGCGCTCCTGCTCCGCCAGGCGATCCCGCCCGGGTTTTGCGGCTGCCGCGCCCCCCTCCCTCC